TATTGATGATGATGTGATGTGATGACACGTTTTTTAAAAGGAACTCCTAAGGGTTAATATAATGAGATATGGATTTGCAATACTAAGTCAATATTTTGAGAAAGTTTCTCATCATAATGACTTACAGAATCCTTTCTTCCCCCGTCACATTGGCGGAAATGGACTTCCATATGTTTGGGACAGTGTCTCACCCGCGCAGTAGTAGTCAGGTCTGGAGAAACCTGAGGGTCCTATTGTTGTTCACACTGTCACAATATTAGTAACATATTTGCTTTTCCTACTATAACAAGGCTAAAGTTTGGCTGTGAATAACGTCTATCGTTAGAGAGAGCTCGGGACAAATTTTAAACGACTACTGAAATGCACACACCACATACTGCGCTTCTTTAAACAATAAACGTGGCTGAAGGATTAACTTGTATCCTGCTTAACATTGCTTGCATTATCCACAAGTGATGGCAATTGTAGGTATCTAAATGTCCATACTGGAGTGCTTGCATTAAATTACTGTTGAGTACTTGAGTTTATGTAAAAGAAAAAGAACATAAACATTAGACTAGGGACCAAAGTGAACTCGGAGGAGAAACTGCACTGGGGTTAGTGTTATCCTACCTTTCTGTGTTGTGCTGACTGTGAGACGACGCTGAGAAAAACTGTAACCACAAACATTCAGACTTTGTAATCATTCAGGCTTGTAAAAAAGCTGTCTGGATTACTTTCTTATTTGCAGCCACCTTGGCTTTCGTCTCTGTAAGAATATGTATCACTAACTCATGCTTTCACATTTAAGTGAATTGGCCAACAACGAAAAACACAATGGAATGATGCGTGACTGAATACACGCAACGTTGTCTGCCAAATTGAGTACCGAGTACTCATGCCCATCCCTATGACCTACACCCCTTAGCTCCCTCCAATAGGACCGTTTTTGGGTGTGATCTTACTCGAACAGTCTTACTTTGTAGTCGGTGCACCCTCTCACCCTTCAGTCGGTCCGGCTCTTTTCTCCTCTGTTTGGCTGAGCGCTGTCAACTCTTTGCCAATGGAGACTGCTGACTCTGGGGTTCACTGGGGTTTTTTGTGCCAGAGGAAGCTGCTTATGTGGTCAGAGTGAGTGGAGAGCCCGGTGTCAGTAGATTCAGGGCCTCGGTCTGCTTTTCAATAGAGCTATTATGCTAACATGTGGGTGCTCTCGCTGTAGCCTCGGCACCGCGCAACATGAAAGCGTTGGAGCTAAGTGTAATTAAGAAGAGCTGATGTGGTAATAGTAAAGCCTGCCAACCATGATGATATTTAACAATCAGTGCCTTAATTAAACCTGGCCTACATTGCAACAGAGTGCTGCAGTGTAGGTCAATGTAGGTCATTCCAGTTAGACTTGCTTTTTAATTGATTTGTGTAATGTGTCATTTATCCACAGACCTCCACATGAATGTCATAAAGAGGATCCCTGTGCTGCACCTGAGCGACAGTTAATCCTCCAAGCAAAAACCCCATATCCCACAGTTCCCTGCTTCTCTCGGCTGGTCCCTGCAGGTGTGGGCGTGCCTCCTCCTGTCACACTGGCAGAGGAGGCGGGGCAGGAGGTGTTGCCAGGTGGGGGACCGAGGCTGCACCCGCCTGCCTTCTCTATCTTTCTCCGTCCAAATCCGACCCACTTGATCCGGAGCTCCCGCAGGAAGGCTGAGAGCGATCCGGAAGGGAGCCTCGAGCGCGCGGCGTCCGGATTTGGACCCCTGCAGAGCTGCACTGACAGGGCTCTGCCAGGTGGTGTCGGCTGGTTGAGGAGCAGAGCATGTTGAGTGGTTGTGGTTGCCATGGAGCTGCAGGATAAGAAGCAGGTGAGGTTGGTTGCTTAGTTCAGCATCTGCTTGTGTAACTTAAATGTCCCTGAGGTGGAGAGGTGTTTACAGAACCGATAGGCCTCCTGGGATTTACACTACCCTGAGGGGAGTGCTTAGCTATGCTGCATGCTTGTTTTGTGGTACTCTTTAGGGAAAATGTATTTAATTTCCTAAAGCACATGTGCAAAAAGATATCGTGTTGCCTAAAAGTCCCTCTATATTGTGTGATTGGGCCTTGTTTAGACGAGTATTGACGATCATGAGAGTAGAGCTGGAACAATTAGTCAAATAATGATTTAGTTGTTTGAAAGAAAAATGAGTTGGCTATTCTGATCGATTAACTGATTCAGTCATTTTTCAAGCAAAATTGCCAGAACATCCATGGACTTGAGAAAATGATTGGCGATGAATCAATAATGAAATGAATTATTAGGTTCAGCGCTACGCGAGAGAAAGGGTTTGGTTGTCGTTCGGAAATTTGGATCAGATTTCGCAATGTCTACAACTAGCCAGTCAGAATGTGGTATGAAATGACACAATGCCAGTGACCTGGAATATTGCTGCTACCAACAGGGAATTTGAAAAGGTGACTGGAATCATTCAAATAATAATAATAATGATGACTTTTTGACAATTTTACACACAAAAAGTAATGGAAGCAGCTGTGTGACGAATGAAAAGAGTCCAACCATGCCTTCAGTCACACCTCCATACACCTGGACTGCGTAAAGAGGGCGTGGATGTTTGATTGTTAGCTATTGTTAAATACACATTTCCCCGTATTCACTTTTTCACATGCATTCTCATTGTCCTTGATCATTTTAGTCGAACCTGTTCGAAGGGTCAAAGGTTAAACCTCTGTAGTTAAACATAGATGTGTAGGAGAGGCATTTCACAACTGGGCACCCGCTGGGTCAACATGACGCGTCTAGGAACGGAAATGTGGCTGCCGCTGACCTATTGCTCAACACGCTCAAAGAAGAGCTTTCCACCTCTTCTATCTCAGTGCTCCCACCTATGTGCTGTGTTCTCTTATATAATCATTAACTCCTAACTGTACAGTCAGAGGAAGCATGTAGCCGCCCTCCTTCTGAAGGAGACGTGAATGTTGCAGAAGTCTTAGAGGTGGACTTGACCTCTCATTTTACACGTTTGAATTACGTAACGTAGTGTTGATTGATACAGTGAACATTTCAGCGGTATGGATTCCTATTTGTTTGGTTATATAATAAATTGTGAATGCATTAGTAAGAGAAGCTATCACTATTTCTGCCCCAAATTCACCAGTTTATAAACAGTTTATGAAGGTGTCACCCAGCGACATGTATAAATATGGACACAAAAGTGAAGCAAAAGCATCTCGATCGCCCTCTGGTGGCTGACTGCAGTATAGTTCATAAAGCCCCGCTGCCTCCATGGGCCAAACTAAAAAAATCAGTACATGTCAAATACATTTTTGTAAGAGGGTTTCTGTCATTTTCTGTAGTTCTTGATTAAAATGTTTTATTATAATTAACCGATCAGGCAAATGGGTTATAAATCTACCTGCGCAAATTAAATTGTTGCTTCTTTATACAAAAAAAAAAATATTAGCGGTTCATTTTAACTGCAAACAAAGACCCTCTTAGCTGCTGCGCATGCTGTCGGCTCTTGTTATGGTACTCCAGCAATGTGTTCCACCTTGTTCTCAAAGTTGCAGCAAACTGCGCAATACATAGTTGGAGTTTTGCCCACACCAGGATATTTGAAATGTTTGCCTGCACTTCAGCTCATAAACTTTGTCTTTACCCACCACCATTTTCTTGCCCGATCAGTACTGAGCATGTGCAGCTGCTCAACAGAGATGAGATGAAGCTGAGACGGCTCTCTTCCTTATGCCGTTATCTGTCTCATCATCAGCTATGGAAAAAATGATGACACACTTGATGATGAGCCCACTTTTCTTTCCCCGGGTAAACACAGATGAAATGGTGTTTTGTCTGACAAGATACATAACAATGGCATAGGGCATCAATTTGATGATTTTATATGTATTTTGCATACACTTATTATATCAGACAAAACAGTCCCACTGACTGTCAAAGACCTGTCACCACGTTTTTCAATTTAACTCCTTAAAAGCTTATCTGTGTTTGCTTAATTCCAATCTGAAGTCCCATTATATAGTGATAGTGTATTTTCAATTGTATCAGCCACTCCTTCATTTTTTACCTCTACCAGTTCTGTCTGTAGCTTTTCTGTGTGCATCCTTCCATTATTGAAAAATATGCTAAGTTGGCAAGAGTGGAAAATAGCCTAACCAGGGTTATACAGGCCAGGTTGGCATTGTTCCTCTCATCAAAAGAGCCTCTTTTTCTCCCCACACTATGTCTGGCCTCTTTCAGCCCCCCCCCCCCCCCCCCCNNCCCCCCCCCCGTGCTAGGGTTTTTGTTGCTTACTCTCCCAGCCAGCTGTTGAACTGAATGAGACTCTGCCCATGCCAGAGAGACAGCCAGACTTGGTGTTTTTGAATTAAAGTCCAGCTGGCAGCGTGTGCTGACGCTGGGCTCTGTTGTCTGCAGCCCAGTGACGAGGGAAATTTTGGGTGAGGTTTTGCAGCATCTCCAGCTCTCTCCTGACTGTAGCCATGAGCAGGCTCTCTCTCCAGTTAGGACTCCATTCACATCTTGGGAACAGGTTTCCGAAATGTAACGATTCTCGTCACGTAGCACAGCTGTCGTTATATGCTGCCCTTGTAGCCCAGCAGCAGTAATACAGACTTTAGTGGAGCAGAGCAGAGCAGGGCCGTCATGGTGTTGAAGATGAGAGAGGGGATCTGCCTCAGGAAGAAGAGCAGTGTAAGTTGTCTCCTGCTTGTTTCTGTCAGTCTGCAGCTGAACACATTCTCCTTAGTGACGGCTAAAGAAAATGTAATGCTGTACGTTTTTATGAGTGATACTGTCAAACAGATACTGTAAGGCACGTCTTTCAGTGTCAGTAGTAGTGTTCGCATGTAATGCTGTTGATTTGTTGGCGATCATCCAAGGTTAATCAGGTTGTAGGCAGGGTTTGCTTTACTAAGGCTGCTCAGGCTCCTGCATGTTTACGTCTGTCTAGAGGATTTCTATTGAGGCTTTGTTACTCTGGGGAAATGGGAAGATATTTATAGTTTGGCTATGTGGGATGTAGAGCTTGAAAGCTGAACCCTGTGTGTATGTGTGTGTGTGTGTGAGTTTTCATTTTTGTGTATGTCTTTCTGTTCAGTGTATGCGCAGACCTTTGCAGACACACACATCCTCGCAGTGACATGGGGAGTGGGAAAGGTTGCTTTCCCATTCACATTAGATATGACTGTTTCCCTTCCTTCCTTTATTATAAAGCGTTCTTCTCTTTTTTACACAGCTATTTTGGTTTAAGTGTGGGCTAAGGTAGCGCAATATGGAGAAAATGTGATGTATGATGCATTTGTTAGACAATATGAAAGCAACAATATTGATAGAAAATGAATTGACAGCCATTTATCAAATGCAACATTATCTGGCTCCAGCTTCTCAGTGTCAGAGTTAGTGGCTTTTCTCAGTTTTATATCTTTGTTAATTGAATGTCTTTCAAGTCAGGATCTGAGACCTTTAGAGACTTCTCCATGGGAGAAATTGTGGAGGGCATTTTTCATAGTTTTCTTACATTTCATAGATCAAATCATGAATCTAATCTGTGTTTAATTGTACCTGGTGCAAATATGAAGCAAGATTGATGGCTTGTCATTGATGATTCCCTGTATAATTCAAGTAAAATAACCGTACCAAGGTGTCTTTTAAAAAGTATTTTAAAATTTTGTCCTTTAAAATGTCTTAATATGTATTTTACAGGTCTTAAAATTGGATTGGATTAATGAAGTTAATGTTACTTGTATGAAGTTGCATTTTTCAGTCTTGCTTTTAAAGCTGCAGTAAGATGTTTTTTATAAAATAACATTTTTTGTCATACCTGTACTTTCTGTAACGTTAACTATATGCTGACATGAAACAGATAATCTGTGAATGTGATGCCATTTTCAAGAATTTACTGGGCCTGAACGACAACCAATCAGAGGCGAGAACAATCAGCTAACGTCAAACTTTCAACCTGAAGTGTCTTTCTCAGCTCTAATTGGTTGTTTTCAGCCTGGTGGATTCTTGTAAATGTCATTAGGAGGAACCATAGCGAACTGATTTGTTTTCAACAGATTATCTGTCTTCATGTACTACTGTCAGGATATAGTGAAAGTTTCAGCAATATGACAAAAACCTATTTTTTAGAAACTTTGCCTACTGCAGCTTTAAATGTGTATTGATTGTGCTGAGTAACAACTACAAAACAAACCTGAATGGAACCAATACTGGTTTTCCTTCATGTCCATACTTTTTTTGCTTAAATTGAGTTAGCATTTCTCAGAACTGCCATCTTTGCTCCCGAATTGCATAGCATCGGTGTCGAAGGGTGAAGGAATGGTGTGCTGAAAGGGTGAATGTGGCACGTAGTGTAAAAGCGCTTTGAGTGGTCGGGAGACTAGAAAGGTGCTATAGAAGTACAGGTCCATTTACCATTTACCATCTTCACCACATGCATTCAGCGTGAGGGCTGAGGACTGCGGGCTGCATATCATTAGTAGGTTTCTAACTAGTTTAAATACTTAATTGTTTACGTCTATGTCCACAAGCTAGCAGTCTTCTTCTTCCTTGCATTTTTTGACGCATCACTGGGTTTCTCTGTGCTGTACCACCACCTGTTTTGATACTAACAAGTATTGAAGAATGCCCTATCAATTTGTGTATGAAATTTCAATACCAATTCATCATCAGTGTCAGTGCGCCGATAAGCCAGCTGCATGTTTGTAACAGTTGTCACTACTGCAGCTACAGTAGCTAGGAAGCTCATAAGCTCATAATGCTCATGTGGCAATCTCAGCAAAAATATCACTTCAATGAATGAATTACTTTTACCATTTTACCATTTACAAGTGCTTGGAATTGTCGTATTTTTTGTTGCAGGAAGAGGGAACTGTGACTCTGGGCCTGTCCACTGGCCAGGCTCTAGTGAAGCTCCGGGACCAGCTCAACAGCCTGCTGGAGCAGCACCAGAGGACTACACACAGACGAGCCTCTGCACAGGTAAACTTACACACTTATATCAGTGTTCTTATTTGAAGAGTAACTAAACACCAAAAACATTTTCTTCAAAACATGTATATGGGTATTTACTAATGTTGTTGATTGAATCGGGGCCAGATCTGGACATTTTATTGCATTAAGTATTTGAGTATTTGGGCCTAATGTGTAGCCATAGCCTGACACTACCCCACAGACACTGGAGAATAACCTTTCTGATCTGCTCACTTTGCTAGCTTTGCTAACATTACAACACAGGTATCACACAGAAACTTTTGCAAATGGCTGTGAATGTGCTTCTAGTGACCGTCAAAGCTGCAGTGGAGTCTCTGTGTTTGCAGCATGGACACAGAGAGTCTGACAGCAGCTGCTCATGGCTGGTTAGCTCGTATGCTCTGACTAGCGGCAGCTGGACTACTGTCTGCCACTCTGGCTGGTGTTACCTCCTGCATCACACATTAGGGGTTTAGTTACACTTTAATTATAGTCACTCCCTAAACTTAAATCTTCATTCTGACCTAAAAATGCTATTTATTGTAAACCTAACCCTAAGCCTAAATTAGCTGATGTCATTACGTCTTTGTCAGGATGTTTAGTCCTCATGAGTGTGAAAACAGCAGAACACAAGTCACATAGAAAGCGATGTGTTCCACACAGCCTTGATCCCAACCACTAATAGTAACCCTGATTATTCTTTAAATAAATCTGTCACATGTTCGATGTCTTACATAACACACTGCATATTGTTTTGCTCATGTCTTGTTGTCTTGTCACGTTTTCATAGGAACAGTGGGTGAATAGCTTTCTTTACCATGGCAACCGTCACTCCTGTCTCCATTGGCCAGGAGCTGCCCTCACTCTACTGGTGGTGCTGGGACTTTTCTGTTGTTATGGCAGCCAGCCAAAGGGCAGGTAGGTGCCCTCTTTTAGCCGAACCGTCCTGTTCTGGAACATCTATGATGCTGTACGTGCAGCATCAGTAAAAATGTTGGTGCATGGTAGGAAAGATTAACATAGTTTCTTTGTCCTTGAAGCTGCTGTAAGATTTGTTTTCCTATACTTCGATAATTACCAGCAGGTTGAGAAGATATTTCCCCACCACCATCATGTCAGAAGCTACTTTATTCAACAGTTCCACCACCATTGTTGTAAAAGTAAATTCTTTTTGAACTAGGTTCACACAAGGCTTTCTGAAATGCCACATATTAAATCCTGATTCCAAATAGATATACAAGAACAAGCTAAGGAGGTCTCTGTGTCCCTAGGTCTGGGCAATGTTGCTGTCCCCTGAACTGTATAATTCTCATGAAAAATAATCAACATGTTCAAGTTGAACAGAAGTGATAAAATGTAATTACTCAGCAGCAACACAAACACCAGCTGTCGTTGTTCTTGCTGTCTGCCAAGGCCATCTTACACTTGCCTAGACTGTTCTTCTTTTTGATTAAACATGGATACTAACTGACCAATTGAAACACTCATTTAGATTGAATTTGGATACATTTTCTATACAATTATAGAAGTGCTGGTTCCTCAGAAGGCATCAGTTAAAATCCCTTTTAGATTTATTTGGTGTAGCTTCAAGTAAACGTTTTATTATTATTATTATTATTATTATTATTATTATTATTATTATTCATTAGTTTTTTTTATCAAGCAATGAAAGATTATTGAGAAATGTTTCTCTAACTGTGCCTGTTGAAGACTGATTTGTTTTCTGTTTCATTTGTCCTTTCCACCTCCACAGTTCTGGTATAGAGCTGATGAACGCCGCAGCCCTCCTTCTCCTCTTCCTGCTGAACCTGCTGCTGGTCGGACGTCAGGAGAGGCTGAAGAGGAGTGAGATGGTCCGCCGCCTCAAGGGCATCATCACGCAGCTCAGTGGTGAGTCAGGCTTGTGGACTGAGCACTGGAGGAATTATGGCATTTTTACTTCTTGTACAAGATAATCTCTGTTTATCTGTAACGCTTGAGGAAGTCACTGTCCCTCACTTCCTCATTAGCATGGCAAAAGCATTGTTGTTGCTGACTCGACTAAAATGCGATTTTAGTTTTAAGGGTCTCGGCTATGTTTACTCCCTGGTTTCCACATCACAGATAAAGGAACCTAAAAGTACATACTTTTTGATCATTTTGAACCAATACCTGTCAGAACCAGGTCTCAGGGGGGCATCTCTATGCTGACAAGATTAGTGACTCAAGTATAGACGTTGAAATGAATTTGCGCTTGTCCATTTGGTGAAGTAGTATCATTCATAATCAACTCTCAGGATGTCTAGGGTCGATCTGCAAGAATGGTGTCAGGCATTTTTCAGTTCATCAACTTGATTATGCCAATGTGAACTGTAATGGAACTCCAGCTGTCCAAAATGTCCTTCTGCTCTCCGCCGCAACCTTTTCTTCACTATTCAGATTTGACTGAACCTAAGGGTGATGCATCTCACTACAGCATAGTACATTTCCACAATGACACTGATCAGGTCAAGGAGGGCTTCACAGTTTTCCATAAATATTCTTACTGACAGGTCCTGGAACTGAGTTGTTTATAATTAAATTACATTATCACCATATTCATGCTTGTTATCCTCCCGTCTTCCTCTTACTGACTGCACCTTACCTGTCTTACTCCAGACTATCTGTCAGGGTGTGTGGGGGAAGTGCGGTGGTCTCCATCCCTGTACCCTGATCTGTACACACCCACGTCTCCTTCGTGGTCCCTCCACTGGACCTACCGCGACTCCCAGTTGGTTAACCTGCCCGTCAGTCTGCTGGTGGAAGGAGACATCATCGCTCTGAGACCTGGCCAAGAGGCGTTTGCATCCCTTAGAGGCATTAAGGTAGATACTCTTACAGTGTATGTACACATGCACCTTTTTTAGAGATGCTGAGGGACTCATAAGCTCCCTCCTCTGGCACAAAGTCGTCAAACAATACACCTCTGGTCATATTGAGTACATTGGGATTTGCCATTATGGCTGTGTTCAGTATCAGTATTGTACTGTTTCGAATTCACCTGATTCAACTTTGTCATTTAAATTTCACTTGTAGATGTTCTCTATCTCTAAATGTATACAGGCATGAGCCTTTGTCAGACTGAGTTGAAATAAACAGGGAAAACACTGGTTCTGTTCCTTTGGTAATAACTGCAATAATTCTTTGCTGTTAAAGTATGTCTTTTGGAAGATAAGTTTATTTTATGAGAAATTCAGTTATCAGTTATTTGCCCTAGATAGTCTTTTGGAATCAAATGTAAATGAACTGGTATTGGTCCAACACAAGCACACTAATACACATGTGCATCCTCAAAACCGTGTGGCTGATAGACAATAACTGGTCATTTCTGTTCCACGTGTGCTAGTAGTAGATGTAAGTGGAGCTCCAACAATTAATCCAATAATTGATTAGTAGTCAACCATTTTGATTATAGATTTGAGCAATTAAAAAGCAAGTAAAAATTCTGTAATTCCACTTCTTTAATGTGAATATGTTCTGCTTTCTTTAGTCCTCCCTGACAGTAAACTGAATATATTTGGGTTGTGCTAATGAATGAAGGAATAGTTGGTTGTTGGTAGGCATAAATCGATTATTTTGACAGATATTGCTTGGGTCATGGGGCGTACCAAACCAAGGAAGATGCATACCGAAGTCCTGTACTGGATGTTTTGGGACAAACATATGTACCATAACACCCCTGCTTAGTACAGAATGAGCCATTAAAACTACATTTTTGGGTGACCAGCTTAATCTGTTTTTCTCCTCAGGATGACGAGCACATTGTGTTGGAGCCAGGAGATTTATTCCCCCCACTCTCCCCTCCCCCTTCCCCACGAGCCAATGAGAAGAGAGGACCCCAGAGCCCCCAGCAACATCGTCTCTTCAGAGTGGTCCGGACCCCAGTGCTGGACATAGTCAGGTAGGGAACTCGCTCGTGTTGAGAAATGTTTTGTGTGGCCTTTCTGGGTGGGTGAGATTTTTTTTCATCTTCTCCCAACAGGAACAGTTTGGAGATGGCGTTGGCTCGACCAATCACGGTGCTCGATAACGAGAGGTTTACGGTGCAGTCAGTTATCACCAAGCTAGTCTGTCCTGTCGTGCTGGTAAGCAGTTAACATAGAGCTTCTAAGTCTAAAAGAGTTTGGGATCGCATGTTCTCTACTTAAAAGGACCCCAGATGTAATGCTATGTTTCTGTTGTCTCCCTTTAGGTGGCCTTCCTGCTAGTAAACACTATTCGCTATTTTTGTGACGCACCCAGCCTCACCCCCGCCTGCTACAACTTCTTTCAGCTTCAGGTACAATCATTCAAAACTATAAATGTATAGCCAGACCGGAGTGTATGCATGCTTTTCTATTTTAAGTCAGACTTTCTTTTATACTTTATGTTAGTCATAAACATTGCAAAATTGTATTTGCAGTTAATGGGTGTTCTACCCATCTTGCCCTTGCTCTTCCCCGTCATGTGGGTGCTGTTGAATGCCTTTGGAGAGGCAAGGGTCCTCGCTGAGTTCAGCCGCGCATCACCAGCTGGTCTGGTGAGAGACACACACACACAC